TAGCAGAGAAACATTGTCAGATATAGGACTGGAAGGTGGGAGGGCACTCAGAAAGCGATTGTAAACATTACAGCCTTGAAAACCCTATGGAACAGTTCTACAGACTCGGGCTCCACTCGGTGTCAACGGGTTTTGTCTGTTGCTTTTTAAAGTAAAAATAGCAAAGCAAAACTATGCTGAAGTGTGGATGTCGACTTTGTTGTCAGCCGGAGGCTCTGAGGCCTGGCTTGCTTTTTAAACAGGGAAATGATCGCCACAGGTTAGCACTAAGTGGAAACTCTCCCCTTAATGCGCCAAGACGGCTGGGAAAATGGAGTGTGTGACGAGGGATGAATCTGGCCCTCACGCATCCTCTCTTTGGTCTCTGTAGTGCCCGGAAACGCCCCATACCCTACTACCGGCCCAGCCCCTCTTCGTCCAGCAGCCTCAGCAGCGCCCCCTCCTGGTACAGCAGCAGCAGTAGCCGCTCCACCAGCCGCAGCTACTCCCGGAGCCGGAGCCGGAGCCGGAGCCGGAGTCGGAGTCGGAGCCGGAGCCGGAGTCGGAGTCGGAGCCGGAGCCGGAGTCGGAGTCGGAGCCGGACCCGCAGTAGCAGCAGCTCTAGCTCCAGGAGCCGGAGCCAGAGTCGGAGCCTTAGCCGGAGCCGGAGCCGGAGCCGGAGCTACAGCTCAGCAGACAGCTACTCCAGCACGAGGCGCTAAGGCCCCTTTACTCTGCCAGCCGCCCCCACTACCTGCCCAGCCTGCCTTCTCCTTGGTGACAATGAGAACTCCTGGACCCTGTCCTCCCTGCTCTCCTGGAGCGAGAAAAAAGCATCTGCAGGAGGGTCCATCCTCTGTGCCCAGCTGCTAGGAGTGTCCACCAGCACCATCCTGGGGCTCAGCTCAGGCCTGGGTACATGGAGACAACCATCCTCATTTGGCTCAAAACCCTTAAAGTTCTATAAAGAGCAGTGAGTCTTCAGCTCAAAAGTTGGGGCCTGGCCAGGAAAACGTTGAGACAGTTCTAACTCTACTGACAGGATGCCCAGGCGAGGCCAGTGCCATTCATCACACCCCATCCCATTCTCCCCCATCCAATCCCCCACCTGCACGTTTATAGACCCACAGGAGAAGAGAGGTGAGAGGAAGGCAAAGGTAGGTAGTTTGGGGTCAGGCCTTACAACTCATACCTAGGCCAGAGTAAAGGCTGAATACTTGTTGAGTTCTAGAAAAAGGGTGTACCTGGTGAGTAGAAGGCATGGCGATTTGGTTGGTGGTAGTTGTCAAGAGACAGGCGATTCGTTCTCTAGAGATCCCTTGATCATCACTATTGAGGTAAAAGGAAGGGGGTCTCTCTACTACTCCCCAGATTTCAGCAGCGGTCAGGGAAGAAGCCCATCCTCCCACCCCCTAGCCCTACCCCTCCCAAGTGTCTGTTCACAGGGACCCTGCACTCCCACTGAGAAAGGAGACTGTGAAACAGCTGGGACAGCTTGGTCTCCCAGTCCCCCTTTCCAAATCTGCCTCTGCCCCACGAGCTGGCACAAGCTTTGTTCCACGGGACCATCTGCTTGCTGAACATTCCCTTGGTGCCATGGCCCACTGCCAGCCCCCAGCGCCAGCTAGTCTGGTCTTCCCCTGGAGTTGGCGCCTGCTCACCCCCTCCCCAATGCCCAGACTGCCACACCCTGGATTCCACCAAATGCAGCGGGCACCCACCCACCCACCCACTCTTTGGTTTATCCAGGCCCCTTGCCTCTCAGGAATTTTGCCAGGTTGGGACACAGTAGCTCAGGTTTGTGGGCACCACCCAAATCCACAGAGTCTGGGGAATCCAGAGAGGGGCTCGGATGCTCCATACTGTGGTTTCCCACTGGGTTCTGGGGTTTTGCCAGCATCGGGGAGCCTGACCTTCATTTCTGCCCCACCCCACCTTCCCCTTACCCAGGGCTCTGAGCAAGGGTAAATTGATCCCTAACACAAATGCCATCAGCTGCCTCATCCCCAGGAGGTGTTGAGGACAGGGGGGTAAGGGAGAAAGAAGAGCCTTAAAATAAACCCTTGGGCATCCTCCTCACCAGCTGCCTGGCTTTCCGGAGCCTGGTGGGTGAATTGCGCATTTGTGGTAGCCAGGGCTCTGAAACAGAAAGGGGTCAGTCCTGAGACTAGGGGGCAGCAGAACCCTGTAGTCTTAGCCCTCCCACCCCAGGGGAAACTCTTGGAAAACAATTCTCTTTCTTGGAGGCAGTGCCTCAGCCCTCCCCAATCTTTCTCATCACCTCAAACTGTGGGGCCGAATACTGCAATGCAAACACCCAGCCGGCTCGTCCACCAACAAGAGAGGACTAAGGGGGCCACAGGAAGGGGTGGAGGACTTGGCCTTCCCGTGAAGCTTTCTGGCCAGGTCTAGGCCCCGCCCCTACAACCAACCCTGTCAATGCTGTTACCGAAGAAGGCCGGCTGGCAGGGGTTTGGACAGAGGCAGGTGCCCTGGGAGGGCAAGTACAGTAACTGTAAATAACCCTCTCGCCATCCAGAGTAGACTCCATTCTCTCTTGATGGAAACAAAGGTCCCTGGGGCCAAAGGCACTGGGGTCTCACAGTTCCAGGGACTGCCTTCGATCAAACCACGTATGGGACCATGTTGCTTGGGGTGCCCAGCACACTACTTCTATTTATGTTATTTATTTATCTATTTATTTATTTATTTATGTGATGCCCTCTTCCCCCCTACCCCACCCTTGCTCTCCAAGACACTTGGTTACCAGTAGCAGTATTTATTTATTTATTTGTACGGAGAGGTAATGTGTGTATGTATGTTGTGGGGGACCTCCTAAATGATTTCTGTGCATCTCTGTTTTGATCCCCTTCCCCTCGGGCCTCTGTGAATGGGATTTGAGAGGCTGGGTGTGGGTAAGGACATCAGCCTTTATCCTGAAGGCAAGACCCAGGTAGCTAGAAACCCACTAATCCTACAGTTTGCCCCCAAACACTTCAGGTCCGAGATTTGTTGCTAAGCCTGATATATCTATGAGGGTCTAGCCCCTGCTCCAGCCCCCTGCCCACAGCTACCTCACTGAATTACTGCAGAGATGCTAACAGCCAAGAGCCTGGGAACTTAGGCACTGAGTCTACACTTTGGAGTTGGAACTTGCATGGGGTTTGGAATCTGCAGTTCATATGTAAGGAACAAACTGCACAAACCCAGAATTGCTGGGGAATATCCCCCTCAGGGAGCCACTAGACTAGAGATGTGCGAACTCTTAGCAAATGGGTGGGACATCTGTTGAGAACGTACTGGAATCATTGCTTTGCAGTTTAGGGGCCACAGCTATTGGAAATGGCAGGAGGAATGGCCAGGTTATCAGACCAGGAGATTAGGGCCTGGGTTGAGTGGACTATGGGAATAGAAGATGCACGTTTGATCTCAGCCTTCCTCCAGTTGGCCTCATGTCAGTTCATTAGGATTCAGCCTCACTGCAACTAATTTCCCCTACCTCCTGGGGTTTGGAGGCTGCCCTGCTGGGTCTGAAGTGAAGTGAGACTACCATGAGGCAGTACCAGCCATCCTTGGAGAGGCCCACAAACACACAGCAAAAGCCTTTCTCTCAGAATCTCTAGCTGTTCCTAAAGTGGAATTCTGACATCAGGCAAAACAAGGGACAAAAACAGCCAGATGTTTAATCCACAATGGTCATTTTGAAGCCCACTGCCAGCTGGTAGTGCTTCCTGGCCATTGGCTACAGAGGGCTTGTCACTGCTGTAGAAATCACCAGCACCTTGGATTTGGTGAGATGTTTATAACATCCCTGGTGGTTTTCCTGGCAATGTGCCTACCCTACTTTATCTAGCACAGACAAAGAGGAGTTCTGCTTTGCGGGGGAGTGTGCAAGAAGGTTAGTTTGAATCATTGTGGGGGGTCACCTCTGCCCCTCCCTCTTACCTTTACACCCCCCGCTTTTTTTTCCTACCCCAAAGTGAAGCTCTAACTGAAACACCTGGATGAGCCAAAGCCCATGCTTACTTGCCCCTCACAACTCCCAGAAACCAACGTGCAAAACAGAAGGGATGGGGCTCGAGGTTCGAGCACCTTGCGACCCAAGTCTTTTGACACCTTCCCACAGAGTGATGAACTCTCTGAGTGAACCTGAGCCGAGGTTCCACCTAGGGGAAGTGGGGGAGATCTTGAAATAGCATCCAAAATGCTGACATTAGGCCTGGGAGATTCTCCAAAGACTTTCCCTAGCTGGGACTCATAGGTTAGAGGAACACAGCCTGAAGAATTTTTTTTAGGCAGGTTCACTCGAAGGAGTCCTGGTGGCATAATGGTTAAGCACTTGGCTGCTAACTGAAAGGTTGACAGTTCGAACCAACCCAGAAGCACCATGAGAGAAAGATCTGGAGATCTGATCATGTAAAGATTGGTGGTGGTTAAGTGTCATCCAGTTAATTCCAACTCATAGCGACCCTGTGGAACAGCTGCGGATTTGAACTGCCGACCTTGTGGTTACCAGTCCTAACAAATCCTCATGGGGCAGTTCTATTCTGTCATCTGGGAACCTTATGAGTGGGCATCAGCTCGATAGCATTTCACATAACTCAATCATAAGAGTCAAAACTAAAAGCAAGACTTCAATCTCCTGGAGTTAACTAAGAAAGACTAACTCATCCAAAGCTACCATCCATTCCTAACTCTCTTTGAGCTTTGAAGGGAAGTTTACTTCCTCAGACCCATCTTTCCCAAAGGCTTTGCTGGAAGAGGCCAAAATTCTGGAAGCTCCCAAAGGTACAGAAAGCACTTTTACTCCTTTTCAAATCTAAATCCCATATTTTTCTTTTCTGCATTCTTTGATCTCTTACAAATAATTCAAAATAGTCTCATGGTATGTTGCCTTTCTTTCCTTCCCAGATGAATAGGAATTTCTGTCTGATTAAAAGTTTGCAGGACTCCTCAAAACAATCCCCTGCCCAACTGGCCAACTGAGGAGTGTGTGCCAGGAATTAGCATCGTCAGACAATGTTTTCTCGGGACCTTTTCCTTCTCACTTCCTGGCCAGTGCTGTTGAGACAGCTGCTGTCTCCCCTTGACTTCTTTGTTTTTGTTTATTTTTGGGTGGTGGTGGTTTTGCATTGTAAACACCATGATAGGAGCTCCTCGCCAGGACATGGCTTGTTGAATCATTTATTTCCTATTTCTGGAGTGGTGTTTGGAGAGTGGAGGGCCACCTCTCTCTCCCCTTGAGTTGCTATTGGAAATCGGTCCATCTTGCAGCTCTGGGTGCGGCTGTCTGCAGCAGGGCATTATCGCTCAGGTAATGAGTGCTAGAATCTCAGAGCAAATTGGAATTGGCAGAAAAGGAGGTTTCAGTCATACAAATTAAGCTCAAATGGAACTAAAACACTGGTTATCTCCTGGCAAACCTCATTTAGATGGAAATTAATTGAGAAATAAAATGTCTGCACACGAACCAACTTCTATTAAAAAGTCACAACTCCTTGGGAAAAAAGAGGGAGAAAAAAAAAATTAATCTGTTTTCTCTGGCCAAGAAAAGTTATGCCTCATCTTCTAGCAAGTTGAGGTAAAGAGAGAGCAACAGTGTTCTATTGTGGTTCTCTTGACTGTTATCTCTGTGCCTGGGTGAATGGAGTGGATCTGTGGCCTCAGTTTTCTCATCTGTGAAATGGGGTTCATTGTGTATGTGTTCTTGGAGGGTAGAGGC